TCTACAACTAATAGAGAAAAATATTCCTACATTTGATCGCTGATAATAATAATAATATGCAACAATTACATTCCCGCCATAACCTCAAAAGACCACAGCCAAGCTACACTATTTTAATCGAATAAATGAAAACTTTGTTCACTCACCTAATACCAGGCAGGTCTGGGCTTCAATACTTGGTATTAAATCCAGCACTTTGCCCTAAGGCTACTAAATTGCAATAATTACTCGCGGAAAAAATACACCTGACTGTCGATGCCGATAACGCTGTTCTTCCGAATTCCAATTTCAGCTACACCTACACCTGCGATAAGCTATCTTTATAAAAGAATCATCGAAATCAGACCGACCCTGACATCTAGGAGTGGTGGGACCAAGCACTATCTGCGCGCGGGTAGAGGTCTGGGTGAGCTAGAGAGTAACATCACGAAAGCCATGTTGGTAGCGAAAAAGGGTTTGCTACAGAGTAAGCCTTGTGGGTGTTCCTGTTGTGGTTGGAAGACGGTTGAAAGATGTTGTACTTTCACTTGTAGGGATCTTATTTGTAGGTAGTCTTTCACTAGGTGTACCATATATTTGGGGCAGTCCAACATATATAGTTTGTAGAGCATTCTAAGAATAGTAAATTAATAATGATATGAATTTTTTGACATATTCAAATAGGCCTTTCCAGTCATTTCTAAAAAAAAATATATCTCGAAATATATGGTTCTGTAATACCTTGAAATGATTTTTTCAGAATATTTTTCGCATCAATTCATCACATAAATAATTATTGAAAACGCCAAAGTAAATAAGCGAATTCAAACGATCAGACATGGCCGCAAAACGTATGAGTCGTGTGACGTCAGTGCGCGAACAATTTGGATTAGTAACGCCCTAACCTTCTCGCGGAGCCAATAAAATGTACAATGGACTTGTCAATGATGTCAATTTGCACAGAAAGCTATGATTAGTCGGATAACCATTTTATTTCATTTCAGCAAATTCAATTATACAGATGCTGTAAGATAACTCAATACCTGAAAATTCGTGGTACTGAAAAATTGCATTGCATCATTAGTTAGATGGTTGATTTCTGTTGGTGTATTATTCAAAATTGTGAGTAAAATTTCATTTTGTATTGGATTACAGTGCGAATATTCATGAATTAAATCCAGTTTCAAATCCATTCCAATAAAGTACCTACTTTCAAGTTTAGGTACAAAGTACTCACCTATATGTTTATACGCACCTACCTATACCTGCCAAACATAGGGAAAGGAAAAAATGTTGATACAACCAATACTGAATTGCTTACTTGGTTCTATTTTCTATTGATTTCAGTACAAGCATCACTGACCTTCTGTCAATAATATTGAGAAATGAGAACAGTGAAGTTATGCGGGAGATTGAGGTATTTCAACTTGGCAACATTGTGTTCGCGCCAGTTGCTTCATCTCTTACTCTAGTAAACATAGTTTCTACATTAGCAATTAAATTTTCCAGGAATGATAGTACTTGAGATATAGTAACATTATTTAATTTGTTGATTATAACAATTAGTCAACAAAATCATAACATATCATAACATAAACCAAACCATAATATGAAAAGCGTCTTTCTATTAGATGCCTGCATCACATTTTATCCTAGCTAATCTTGAAACTAATTGAATATTTCAAAGTTCAGAGTAAATTGAATGTGATTACCACTGAATTACCAATCAATTAATCATCTACTACATAGTAATTTCGAATCATGGTATTCCTTGCACCAGATCCACGAGGTAAGACGCCAAGGTGAATCGTGCTCCGATTTATTTAAATTAATGATTATCCACTTTTGAAAAAGCGAATATCCTATTCTGGACTCAACTGTCCGAAACAGATGATAATGTCAAAAAGTGACAAAAGGGGTGTCATTGTTTGTACTCACAATGTGATTATCTATTGGATAAGTAAAAATATACCGAGTGATCTATTCAAAATAAGGAAGTGAGAGTCATTTCCGGTCAAACCTAAAGTGACAGAGAACAATTGAATACATCAAAAAATGCATACTTATGTACTCTCAGACACCGATTTTCAGAAACAATAAAGTTATAGGGGTAAGCCACTCTAGAGAAACACCCAGTATAGTTTAAAGAGCAGAGAATGACAATCATTTCCTACGGGTATGGAGTTTGGCAGCATGAGACGTAGGCGATTTTCAAATTAATGACAACACCCGTCAAACTACAAATTCAATAATGTTTGACAAACCCAGTTGCTCTCCATTCAATTATAACTGCATTATTGTATTCTCTTCAAGTGTTATTTGGCTAATAATAGCAAATTTCAACATGGCTGCTTTGAATACTAACGAATGATACCAGATCGAATTTTGCCCTGAAAACCATCTGGATGAACTTAATTTGGTGATAAATCATGAAATTTGACGTTTTGGGCAGGATTAAATTTTTTCTAGCTTTACACCTGTCGATAGTAGTGAATCAGAATTGCCACTACACACTTAGATGGAAAATCCAAAATAAAATTAAAATCAATATTGAAGTTTAATCTCACTTATGTATCATTTGGATTCAGAAAATCATGCTGAATTCTAAAATGCATTGATATACAGGGTATTCCATTTGAGAAACAAAAGTTATTACGATTTACGGTGAAACCGGAAGTGGAAAATAAAACATATTTATGACAAAGCGTGACGTTCATCAAGTTGAAGTGTTATTCAAAATAATGTAACTTCAAAACTAAAGGAAAAGAAGTGGGTGTACCCAAAACGTCCAAAGATCAGTGAAAATTTCATATTTTCTCTATATATATATATATATATTTGTCTTCTTTTGGGGCAAATCACTACAGGTATATTGAAATAATATTAATAATGAACACCCGGTATATCTAATAGCGCATTGATTTTACAACAGAGATGAGATGAAATTCAAATGTGATGCCATTCAAAGACAGAGAATATTCATTGAAATCAGAAGAATATTCATTCATGTAGTATACGTGATTTATTGTATAATGATAACCACAACTGTAAGACAATGAAGTCATTGTTTCATCAGGTGAGGTAATGGAATTCAACACATACAATGTACCCCATTGCTTTGAGAAAGAACAGTTTTGTATCAAAGCCGCGGAAAATAGTACAGGGCGGTCTCCGAGTGATGGTACATGGAAGCATAGAGAGAAAACTTTTAAAAATTAGTCATTTCAACAGAAGAAAGTTATACTTGTTATCCTTCCCAAAACTTATTTGCATTTTTAAGGAATCAGCGACTTACCTGAATTAACAAAACATATTCTTACTGGAAATGAACAACATATAACAGAGTAGAATAACATTATAAATAAAAAAGAGAGAACATAACCAAAGATAAATCAAATAATCGGCTTGCAATCTTCTGAACGGAGACAAAAACATTGCTTCCCGTTCAGTTGATTTAGATAGAACATGCAATTCACTCCTAAAATCTGAGTAGAAAAATGGTAAATCTGAGATCAATTAATATGAAAAACATCAAGCTCACTTTTTCCTGATACTTAGAAATGCCAGTCTCCATTATTATGTTGAAATCGGTAACAGATTCGTTCCCAAAACGTCCAAAGACAAGTGATATTTTATATTTTTCAAGCATTTTTTGAAGATGTCACTGACTCTTATAGGTTTCTAAATAAGTAGTGAAATTTGGAGTGAAGTGACTTTTGACTACAAGTATACTGAAATAATACAATTTTTTTTAATAATAGGGACAAAGAGAGAAAAATATTCCAAAAATTCAGTGAAATAATAATGGGGTTTTTCAGATAATCGAATTGCAGCATCAAAATAAAATAAAAATTGACACATTCTATGAACAAAAGCTAGTGATGACATAACTCTTCGGGAACCAATGAGAACAAGACGTAAATATCATGTACACTTGGAAGAAATACCAACCAAATATCCATATAGAATCAACTACCTATTTATGTATATCTATCACAGGCAATATAATCACAATCATTTAACCAATTATTATAACAGAAACTGCTTGTTAGACAAAGATGGTTGAAAGCAGTTGAATAAAATAATAAAAACTCTTTCAAGTATTCTTATAGTTCTTATTGTCATGATGAATGAAGTGAATCATATGATTAGCCCCAAGATGCCACTGGGCTTAAAATTTCACTCATAGCAACCAAAAGGAGAAATTCAATTCATAGCCCATGACACCTTTTTGAAGAAGATTATTGCTAATTATAAAATTGTAGTCATCTTTGGATGTTTCGGGGACGATACTGCTCTCGTTTTCAAAAAAAAAATGGAAAAATTTTCTTTTTTTTTAAATAGTCTGTGGTTTTATCTATTGCAGAAAGTGATACAGAAAGGGAGTTACTGGATGTTTTTATTGATTAACCTGAAAAGCAATGACATCGTCTGCAAAAATCCAAATAATTTAGAGGATTTTAAATGAAAGGTTCATTAGAAAATCTTCCTAAAAAAGACAGTATAGTGATGAACGATTTTTCTTCAACAAAACTCGGGGAGAGCTAAACCAAGAAAAAAATGGAACCAAAAATTTAGTTTTACAATACTCATTTCTCAAGAAATATTCATTTTCATATTCATGTGTCAAAACAGGAATATTGTCGCCCAAACTAAAATCATGATTCATGAATCTAATAGAGATTCAGGAGTGAAGAATGAAGGATACTTTTAAAATTCCACTTTGAATGCCAGGAAATTCAAATTTACTTCATGCCCATATATAGTATGATGAGTAACAGATGACAGAAGACATATGACGGCTGAAAGATGACACAAGACGCAGTGGACCAATGAAGAAATTCCATTTGATTTGGCAGCCTTTATCCGCGTTTTTGATCATTTTGAATATTGTGGATTATTAATGTAAATAATTTAAAAAAAAAAGAGTTAGTAAAAGTCATTGTTCTGAAACTAAAACCCATCAGGAAAAAATGAAAATTCATCAAATTTGCCAGTAGACTAATGATCTGAAAACTCACTTTGGGGTATCAATAACACTGGATGATGCACTGGCTAGTGCTGCATGGGTGTTCAAAATTTTGGGTCGATTTTTTACCAAATTCGCGGCCTGTTGCTGAGCTTTCTCAGCCTTCAACTTTGTCAATTGTGTTTCAAAGTCAGTGACCATCTGTTTGCAGTGATTCAGGTTCTCCATTGGTTCCCAAGTGTTATCCTCACTAAAAAAAAAATCAGTAAATTCTGTCGAAAATGAAAAAAATAATTTGTTCAGAATGATTTTGCATAGCCTATCCTTTATCAATTTTGTAAATGTTTCAAATGCAATAGTATTTGTCATAAATTATAAATGTTTGAAACTAGCATATTGAGTTCATGTTTTTTATGTCCAATAATGGACTTTGTTTAAATATTTCAATCATCTTCACTCATTTAAAAAATAAACATGCCTGCAATACTCCATGAACTTGACAAAATCATACCTTGGGAAATGCTCCCATTTGATCTGGTACTCCCATATCTTCTTTTTGGGGTTGAAGCGTTTGGCGACAATTCTTTCCACTGCATACTCCCCTCTTTCACCCTTATCTGTACTCCTCAGTGTTCTTGTGGCTCTGTTCACATTTGGATCGGCCTGGGGAACAAACGGCAATTTTCAGTTGGATGGCATCAAGACAGGGCCTACTCTATCTTACCGGGCCGTAGTCTATCCCCTCTCTCTCGACGCTGACGTCACACTAGTAGGTTGAGATTTCACATCAGTCCGTACTGATGCGTTCGTAATTGATAGGCTATAGCTCATTTACTATAGATTTTAGAAGCACACTCAATCGAGACGAAATGATCCCCAACAAATTCCTCAACTTTTGGTGAAAAAATGAATCCAATAGGATGAATCAATACCGAGTTATGGCGTTGTAACGAAATTCCATTTTATTGAAAATCAGGACGTTGTACTACAGAATACTATTTTTTGCAAATTTGGAATTGGAATAAGATGAAACTAACTCAATATATCAAACTACGATGATGAATCAATTGAATAGTGAAAAAATTGTAGAGTTACCTACAATGAGTCCGAAAGAAATTAAATATAAAGAGCGAGTAAAAAATGGGCTGTTATACCTACCTACTCAAATTTCGCTGTATTACAATTTCGCGGTAATTCCTTGGACTGGTAAAGGGCGATATACTTTTTATTACTCATTTTATTTCTAAATGGCGTATGGTTCAAACCAACTAATATTGGTGCCTGAAAAATTCGAAACAATATTTCTACAATGTAAGTCACAACATAAAGTTTTGGAGAATTTAGCAGAAATTGAAATCAATTCCCTTCTCAATTATTCCGAGAATCAATGTTGCAGTTGTGGGTCTTTTGATTTAATCAGCAGAACATTCTCTAAAACCATTTCAAATATTCTGTTGAACAATTATTGCAAAATAAAAAAAAATTAAAAAAGAAAAATCACTAAACTTTCAGGATGAGATATATAGTTCAGTTTTCAAATTTTAGTTTGTGATTGAGATGATGTATATATATTTTTTGTTATTAGTGTATTTCATTTTGTGATATCTATCAATTTTTTTATTTTGTTATGTTGATCATTTTTACAGTTTATTTTGTTTGGTTTTGTTTGATGTGTATAAGGATTCAACGTTTTTTTTTTTTTCATTTTTTCCTTATTCATTCATATATCGTTGTTCTGGGTATTTTGTTATTCAGTTCGTTATATTCATTTTTATATCTCTCATTGTTGAGATACATATTTTTTCAATTACTTTTGTTAGGTTGTGCTCATATGAACTCCACATATTTTGTTCTTTTCAATTCTGATAGTTTTCAAATATATTCAAATCAAATTTTTTTCACGAATTTAACGTTATCATTCAAATATATACTCTTCAGCAGAAAATAATTGTTACCGAATAGGCGTTTTTGTGTAATAACACACTCGAGTAATAGGATTTCTAACGTCATCAAAGTGCGTCCTGATCATCTTTAGAGATAAACGCTGCTAAAGCCCTTCGAGATAAAGTGAATGTGTATTATACCGATTTGTAGGCAATCAAATTTCCTACAAAAAAGTCAGTGACAGCATATATCCATAGTTGATAGGATTAGCATGGGAGGCGTCCGAACTTTTTGAACTATTCTGTAATGAACACCTGAATCATCGTTCTACTTGAATTGAAATATCGGTTTGTTGTTGGCCCTTGGGAATTTCGAAAAAAAACTCAGTCAATCTAGATACTATGCGAAATCTTTTCATGGTTGAATCATTTCTGTGAATTGAATATTGGAATTTTGGTAGCTGTTTGAAAAAGGACAATTCTGAATGGCGTCAATTAATTTTGATATGCCATATTTCTGAAAATAATGATCGTAAATCAGTGAAATTTGATTCATCTTCTGAAAAATTCTTTTCTGTACATATTTGACCTCTTGAAATTTTTCGCTAACTGTGACCGTTTTCCCGAGATAAATCAATGAAACGGGAGAGACAATTTCCACTGCGTTGATTTTGTCCCTACTAGTGTGACGTCACGAAAGCGATGCTCCGGCCCGGTGAGATACAGTAGGCCCTGATCAAGACCATAGATGCGACTTACCTTAGGAACGACCTTCGGACTTGGGATTGTCACAGGAGTTGCATTATCTTTCACAACTCTGACGGATCGGATGAGAGGTTTTTTCAAGTCAATAATCGGTTTTCTCCCCACGGTAATGGTAGTATTTTCTTTGTTGCATTCTAGATGTGAAAATATCATAGAATATTATACAGGCACTATTATTTGTTTTCCAATTATAATCTGAGGTAAGGGACTGTTTTTTCAAATGGTAAGATATTGTATTTCTTTGAATTCTTTCTGATTATGTAGGAAAATAAGAAAGAAAAAGGGTACAAAGAAAAAAAGGTTTTTTTTTTCCTTTAGGTTAAGAGGTTTTTTACTTAATTCAGTGATGCAGGTATTGAAAGTAGACTTTCATGCACAATTATCAAGCAAAAATGATAAGTTCTTTTCATTATTTGATTGTGGATTATCAAAAGGAGAGTGGAAGGATGGTCAATTTGTGCAATATTTGAAATTTCCAGATGTATTTCTCATTGGTTTTCAATAAAACATATTTCTATTTTTTTGCATGGCACTGAACATTATTGAATTGATTCAAAGATGAAAGTATCCATATCTTGTCAGTGAAGATTTCATTTTTTCTAACAAACTTTGAGCAAAAGTCACCCTATACATTACTGAATTCAGAAAGAAAAACTTTATAAGAAACATCTCATTGTTACTATGAGGAAAAATTACAAAATTTTAGATGAAATTGGTAAAAAAAGTAATTGGACTTAGAAATTATTTGAATGAACTGGTTTCCAAAATTAATTCTGAGTGATGACTGGATGTTGTAGATGGCTATTCATTTATTTATTTATTTATTGAACAAATAACTTCCAGACAGAATAGGCTCTGGTATAAGGAAGTACATAATTATATACCTATAGGTAAACATATCATTATTCAAAATATATCAACAACTGTAAATTGACAAAGAATAATATTTGTAAAAAAAAATATGGCATTCTTAATTTTATCCAGTTCGCTCAGAAATAATCAGTTTTTTCATTTCATTTTTAAATCTACCTATATTTCTGCAATTTTTTATATTGTCAAGTAGTTTATTGAATTCAGTTGAGGCTGAATGAGTGAATCTTTTTTGTCTGATTATGGAGCTAGCGGCGTCAAGATGAAACAAGTTTTATTGTCTAGTTTCATCTGAATTTCAGAATTCCGTATTAAAATAAAATTCGACTTCAATTTTTTATTTATGATATTATATGATATTTTAAGATCTATATATTTCATCTAAAGAATACGTATTTGTTATTTCAAACAATTGATTGGTTGGTGTATCAAATGGGAGACGATACAATACTTTCAACGATTTTCTATATAATGTTGATATTTTATTGAAATTATTCTTTGAACAAGATCCCCAAACATTTATTAAATAGTTGATACGACTCAGTATATGAGAGTAGAGAATCATGTTTGCAATTTTAATATCAAGTTTGGGACATCTTCTCAATGCAATGATAATTGGAGATATTTTTTTTGTCAGAACATCAATATGTTTGTCCCACTTCAACCTGTCATCAAACCAAATACCAAGATATTTGATCTGGTCAGTTTGTTTTGAGAGTTCATTTTTTATTTTAAGGTTGAGGTAAATTTTTTGTTAATTTTTTTGGTGAAAAATCATATAATCTGTTTTGTTAGTATTTATCGATAAAAGGTTAGAGTGGAGCCATTTTTCAAATATCTTCAGTCTTCATTTGTCATATTTTCTAAATTTGAAGGATTCTTGCCTTCATATAAAAGTACTGTATCATCTGCATACATTTACTCGTGAGACCAATTTCACTAATATTTTGAACATAAAGTAAACATAGTATAGGCCCTAAAACAGAGCCCTGTGGGACACCCTTATTGATTAATAGTTTATTTGGTTAATTTTGTATTAATTGTCCTATTTTCAAGATATGAATTCATATCTCACTCATTCTGAGTCCCATTGTTTCTAAGTTTTCTAAAAGTGTTGTATGATCAACTGTGTCAAAAGCCTTTTTGAGATCAATGAAAACAGCTACCACATAATTTCCTGAATCAATTCCTCTCTGGATTGATTCTATCACTTGTAATACTGCTGCTTGTGTTTCACTGTTTTCTTGAAAACCAAATTGATTAGAATCAAAGCTATATTTTTTGTTGATGAATTCTACAATGCGTTTCTTGAGATATGTTTCTTTCTTTATATTTTGGATCACATGAAAGGAAATCCCTATCATGTTCTTTAGGCACATGATATCTTATTATCAAAATTTACTTCCTGGAGTAATTTCTTCAAAAGCTGTAGGAAAAACATGATCTCAAATACCACTGCAGAAAACTTTTCAACAGACATAAAAACAAAGCCTGCTATGTAAATTTTTAGCAAGTAAAAATTCTAAAATCATTTTGGTACCAATTTTTTCAAAGACAATCCAAATACACCATGAATCAAATGCCTACTTACCAAACATTGAAAAATGAATTGGGGTACCAAATACTTTCTGCATGTGAATTTTTGGTACTGACTTATCTCAAACAAAAATAAAATCTTGAATATTTTCAGATATTTCTTCATGGGAATCTGCACATTACTTTTCTCCATTTGAACCCCATGAGTTATTTGATCAGAAAAAAATTGATAACTGATTAAATTTGAATATTTTTTGTAAAGAAATTGCTAATGGCTTTTTGAATTTCCATCCCCAAACATTAATTTATGCTCTAGGACTTGATTTATGTATAAAAAAGTGCCATTGGGTCCTGGATTTCATGCTCCTAAATTCAAAAATGAAAGATAAATAATAATTTTTGGGGTTGTCCCCTGTAGTTAGTATTCATTTTTGTTAACATGGTGAACCCATGTTGCTTGATATTTGGATTACTCTGAATCACTCACAGTGTAAACCTCAGATTTCATTTAAAAATAAAATCAACATTTTTCTAATTTCTAATTAACTAATTATAAATCTGTTCACATTAGTTTTCCTTGACCACTTATATAATAGTGATTTCATGCAGCAGTAATTTACTATGTGATATATTTCCAAACTAAATGTATAAAAAATCCAAATTGAAAGTGTGATTGGTTGATTGATTGTCTTTATTACCCCAAGAAACATTATTGTTTATAATAGGGGTATATACAACAAAACATACATATAACATAATAAATCAAAACAATAATAATTGCAGGATTATGTTTTTCAGAAGAAAAATTATGATTAAATATAAAATTAGAATATTATAATCTATTCCAAGTAATCAGATTGTGAATGATTAGTATAACATAATGGAATTAAAGTTTACTGAGCAGATATTTCTTTGAATTGATTTTAAATTTTTCTGCTCCTTCTATATTTTTCAGCTCATTAGGTAAGGAATATTGATTGTTTACCAAAATTTGACTTATAATTATTTGCTATCAATAAATCAAATTGCCTTGTTTCATGGGCATGAATCCTGTTAACTTCATTAAAATTCAAATTTGATATCTTCAATTCCTTCCTGACAAAATGAATAAAACAATAAATTTTGAGTTTATATAATGAAACTAGATTCAGCAAGTCTTTAGGTTTGTATAGATTTACAATTGATTCTGAAGAAGATAGATTGAAAATTCACTTTATTGTTTTATTTTGTACTTTCATGAGTGGCTTCAAACTGAATTATTTGTACTTCTCCAAATAGATTTTTACTTCCCCAAATAGATTTGTACTTCCCCAAATAGATATTAGATACAGTAAATTTGAATAAATAAGACAGAAATAAATAATTTAATAAAAATTCTATCCTATTCTATAATCAATCCTCATCAAATTATGAACTAAGCTGCAGTTGCCTAGTTATTCCTAATTTTTTTTGTATGAAAGCCTTGTTGCCAGATCCTTGTAATCTAATCTGAGATCAGTAATACTCATTTTAAAAAAGCAAACAGAATAAATGGACAGGAAATGTGTTTCATAAAACCAATTAGTTCAGATTCAGATATGAAATGACTAAAATAACTTTTACCATATCCATCCAAAGCTAGAGGATCCTTTTCTTCTTTTACTTGTGCTTTGGGAGTCTGCAAGATCTGTCTAACTTCTGTCAATTTGCCTGTTCCTATTTTATTGCAATACTGCAATGATTGTCCAGCTGCTATCCAAGCATTTTTGTCAATTTCAGCTAAACTGCACCAACTCTGATACAATTTCCAATCTGAATGTTTCATAACATTAGGCTTTGCACTTTTCATTTGTCTACTTTTCCACAATGTGAAACCCCACACTTGAGGCTTTGTCTCATTCTCACAGGCAGACCATATACCAGATTTGCCTTTGCATATTCTGAGTTTGTGCTTTTGGAACTCTTCAATGAAGATGAAAGATTCATAACATTTTCCACAAACCAATACATCTGTCACTTTCATTTCTTCTTGGGCTTCTGAAAAGTGAAAACACAACATTGAAAAGATACCTATCAAAAATTATATTGGTCAATAAGGATTGGATTCACTATAAAAAACTTCAACCAAATATAATGGTTTTAATAATATAATAACTTACCCTTGATCAATATTGGATCTTTCACAACCTCATCTGCTCCCAATATTTCTTCTAAATCAGAGTTCTTCATAATTGGGGAGTCTGGCACTTTCAAAACAGGCATTGATATCTTCTTTTCCAATGACCTCGCTCCTCTGTATGTTTTCTCTGCAGGTCTAACACTTCTCTCTGCAACCTTAACTTGCTCTGCTATCCTGATGATTGGCTTTGTCACTTTTTCCACAGGCCTAATCAACTTTTCCTCAGAGTCTGATTTCTTATCTTCATTTGGCAAATCAATATTAGGTTGATTTCGGAGCTCTTCTGGTTCTTCTATTGGATCACCTTCATGCATTCTTTGTAGCTCTTCCTCCAAGCTATAAACTGCACTTGATGATTTCAATTCTGTTGAATCTTTAGTATCTGATATGTGTTCATGTTCATTAACATCAGTTACTTTTTCTTCTACATTATCAGTGAGAGCAGGCACCAGAGCATCTGATGAGATTGATGCATCTACTGTTGGTGCAGGTGCAGAAATGAGAGAGTCTGTTACAGCAGTGTCTGTAGAAGAACTGTGATCACCTGTTTCTTCTGTTAGTGTTTCAGTAATAGCATCCAAATTTGGTGGTGTTATATCAAGATCTGCATCCATAGATTTTTCGTTGGATTCTTCAGGATCAGGAATCAGCGTTTCTCCCGTTTCACCCTCAGCGTCTATGCCATCTGTGGATTCATGTACGTCTGCGTTAGCATCGGTTCCCGCGCTTTCTATAGCATCAATGTCCATATTTTGATCTTGCTCCAAGTTGCCCTCTTCTTCAACTGGCAATATTGTTTCCAACGTATCTTCATCGACATTCTCGCCAGACGGCAAACTATCGTCGTTTTTTTCATCCATTATACAATCAAAACTATTTTTCGATTTCACGCCGTTGGCGTTCCAGGTTCAAACTTTAGGGAGCTGAAAATTTTACAAGATATGATAATTTCAATACTGATAATATTAGTAGGGTATTATTAGAAGATGTTTTCATATTTAGCGCCATCAATACATTCATTTCATCATAGTTTTGAAGATGAACAAGGCTACAAGAATTACAGACTTTGCAACAGCGTCCAGGAGGTTGGTACGTGAATCGACAAAATGGCTGGGTTCTTGGAATATACGGAAATCGACGCAAACTTGTCAACATGTCATCCACAAAACGACCAAAAATTTTATAAACAATCACAACGACTGATCTTCGAAAACGATTAATTATGACCTCAAACGAAAATTTAAGAGCAAAAAATTACCTGAATTATCCGAATTTCACAAAAAGACACAACACAAGCAATCTAAACATAGCAAAGGTGCTGCCACGAATACGACGGGCCGACGGCGAGTAAGTAAACTACGGAAAACGGAACAAGCTATGACGCAGACACGAGACAAAAACCCTAAAAATAAAGCGCGAAATTCGTAATCGACACCGTTTGAGCTGTTGAAATTAATGAAAATGGTAATTTTGAGATTATCGGAATGATAGAAACACCAGATCGTTTCCAGTATCAGAAATTTGAAAACGGTTTTGTGAAATTATATCTGAGAAAAATTATATTCTGTTGAGCCGACGCCACGTTTTATTAGTGATTTTAACACCACGTAAAAGGCGCAGGAGTAGGAGTAAGAGTAATGGTATTCATTTGGTATTCAATTTTTCTATTTCACTTGTTCCTACAGTATTCATATAAGTCCGTCCTTTGTCGCCTGTCGTTCGAGAATTTTTTTTGACAATGTTGAATGTTGACGTTCGTTTGACATTTGTTGATGAAAAAAGAAAAGGAAATATTTGAAATAATGGAAATCGAATAATAAAATAAACAAAAAACATGGAGGTGGATTTCTAAAATTGTCTCTCTTTATAGTCTTTATGATTTTTCGGTTTGTATGAATAAAACTATAAAACCGTTTCCACTTTCCAGTCCGTATATCTAGATTTCCACAAATTTCCACTAAAGATCTTTGACTTCAGGCAGGGCACATATCACTCATTTGTTCTCACTTTACTTTAGAAATACTAGAATGGGAGATGAGGAGGATCCAAAAGAATATCGATGGGAGACTGGTTATGAAAAAACCTGGTACATACATCATTTTGAATTTTCATAATGTATACCTACCTAATTGATGATACCTTTCTAGGGAAGCAATTAAAGAAGATGATGAAGGCTTTCTGGAAGCTTCGGTGGCTGACATTGTCCAGAGGGCCAAAAGAAAACGCCATGCATTGAAACAAGGCAGTCAGAAACTAGGCATGATGAGGCATTTATTCATATTATTAGATTGTTCTGAGTCCATGTCCAGTCAAGATCTGAAGCCCACAAGACTAATGTGTACCCTAAAAGTAATAAAATCCTTAGAAACTCCATTCATCTAATGATGTATTTTTAGTTGCTGGAAATTTTTTTGGATGAATTCTTTGATCAAAATCCAATCAGTCAATTAGGAGTCATCATAATGCACAACAAAAGGGCTGAAAAAATCAGTGATCTTGCTGGAAACTGTAGGAAACACATAAAACTCATAAACAATTTGAATAGAACTAGTCTTGTAGGAGAACCTTCATTACAAAATGGTCTGGAAATGGCATTATCATCTTTAAAGTTGTTACCATCACATGCCAGTAGAGAGATTTTAGTGATAATGGGAAGTTTAACAACATGTGATCCAGGGGATATATTGAACACAATTGATGTATTATATAAAAAAATTACCATAGGTGAACCATTGTTAGATTATATTCTTTTAGAACATGAAAATAGAAGGTGTTAGATGCTCAATAATTGGCCTAGCTGCAGAAGTGCATGTCTGTAGGCTGCTAGCCAATCAAACAAATGGGGTTTATAATGTTATACTGGATGATAGCCACTTCAAAGATTTGCTATTGCAACATGTTGATCCACCACCAGCTGCCAAATGTCTGGAATCTAGTTTGATCAAAATGGGATTCCCACATCAGATCAATATAGAGGGGTCAGAAGAACCTTTGACAATGTGCATGTGGTAAGTTGAAGTTGGTTTAATTATGCAACACATATTGGAATTTATTCAGTGATGAATACAAAAAATTATAAATGTTTTCAACTAATAAGAATAGAATCAAATAGAACTTTATTCACCTATCATAAAATCAAGTTATGAGCATACATTTTAATAGGTGAAATCATGCAACATTTTTCAGTCTGTCTTAATCATAATCATTAAATCATGACCTTGAGAGTTACAAACTTTCAATTTTCATGCTTATGATTGAGACCACATGAGAAATGCACATGTGTTGACCTGCCCACATATTTGATGGTCACATATGACTTTTAATTTTGTGTTTGTCACCAAAAAATCAGTGCCAATTAAATGGATTAAATAGGTGAATTGATTTTTCATCATCCTTGTGTATTTGAAGAATTGACCTTCATCTAATTCTCCAGTTTTTCTCTTTCTGTTAATGGGAGGAACTCTGAATATCTTGACTTTCTTTTTTGCATCAAGCAAACCAGAGTGGCAAGATTCAAATAAATATATGACAGAGTAATTCCAATGATAAAATCTCTATCTACTTCTGAATATGAGAATTGGTAGTTGACCTTATTGACATATCAGTTGACACTTTTGACGGATTGTCAATTGTCATATCATAATTCTTAAGCCTAAAGCATAATATCTACTTGCATGCATAAAGGTCCAAATATGATGAGATATTCTTCACCTTGGTCAAGACTCTGATCAAGACAATGACTAAGACAATGATGCATAAATTGAATAGGCCCTTACAATAATATTATTGCACAGTATGCACTATCAGGCTACTAACAAGAATGTAGAAAATGTACAATTCATGTAAAATATACACATTAAAATGAAATTATTTGTTTGAGATAGTGGAGGACTTGAAATAGAAGGTACACATTCACAAAATTTGTCTCCAAAAAAACGGGAATAGGAAGAAGGAAATCAATTTGTTAAATATTTCTTTCTGTTCATTTACTTTACTAATCTACAATAACAATATTTTATTTTGGTCTTCCTGAGCTAATGTTCTGAATGTTTTTATAGGTATGATACTACATAGTTTTGTCCTATGAGATTGCCTATATAATATACTATAAAGAAATTATTGGATATAGCCCTCATATTATATTCTACCTACATAGGTTCTCCTAGTTTCTTGGATTATTTAACATAGGTAGGTAGGTATTTATAGATATTTGATATTTAAGGTTATTGAACAAGTCATGTAAGGTATCTATAGGAGTTATAATAGAGCTATTTAGCAATTTTAGATTTATTTAGATAAGGTACCCAATTTATGACAATGCTGTCAACAATCAATTTGCACATTTCATTTTTGGTTTGATCAAGGGTTTGATTGAATATCTTGAGTTAGCTGGATAGTCATATGAATTAAACAAGATTCTGACAAATAATATCGTAGATGACAATCGCTAAGGTCATTAGATGACGTTCTGATGACATTGAAAACTACGGGAATACAAGTCTTATAACTTTCAATCTATGCCAGGGATCAGAATGTTATTTCCCATAGTTTTAATGTCATTGCAACATCAGATATGATGACCTCTTCGCTACGTGAATACTTTAGAGGAACCAATAGACAATTAGAAACTTTTCATCAATATGTCATTATCAACAATTTAAATTCACTATGGAAAATTCTTCATTAATTAACACATATTAACAATATACATTTCTATATTAACAAGATTTGAGACTTGCTCATAGAACAAATAACATGTTGGGAAGGTAATCAAGAATAATAAAGATCAAATAATACACACTGAACTGTGGATCCTGTCCTGAGGTATATATTGGTCAGACAGGTAGAACCCATAACCACCGCATTCAGGAACATCATATGAGTTTCTTGGAATATAAAACAAATTCAGATAATCTGATCCTTCAGTTTCATAAGAATATATAATTTAGGCAAGTCAATGTTGGGTTAATTTGAAGAATGTACTGTTAGCATAACAAGTCATGTTTTTGATAATTTCGTGGAAATCTTATCATTTATGAAGTACTTTGAATTTGCTATGGATTTCCATCAAGTAACATTACCTACTCATCAAAAAAAATTTTCTAGGGTGGATTTGTTGATTCCTTTTCTTGTACTGAGTTTGAATAATCAATTTCTTGATAATATATGATGCATCTAACTCAGAATATAATTATTATTATCATTTTTTATCTCTTGGAGCGCACGATAGGAAACATCGGTCAGACAGGTCGTACGTTCAATCAGCGCATTCATGAACATACGATTAATTTTTTGAAAAAGAAAACAAACTCAACTTACGCCAACCATATATTAGAAGATTGATGATAATTTCGAAATCTACATGTAGAAAATAATGGAATCAAACTCAATCATTTTGAATCATTAGGAATCAACAAACCCAAAAATTATGTCATTTTACTCAACTATCAACTGGACCACAATAGTTCACCACTGTTTAATTTGTTTTCTCAGTAGGTAATATGCATTTGGTATGAACCCTTTCAAGTTAATCCGGTACAGAGTATTTTAATGTAGATATTGTGCCTAATTTCCGAAAATGAAGGTTTATCCTACCTGTCCACAGGTAGTCCTTCATGTTATGAAATTAGCATATATAAAAGTTAGGCAAGTCAAGGTTAGTTTGATTCATTGTACCAGTATTACACCTGTTGAAGCTACTGTGTTATCAAAACATGTCGTGTGTTTGAGAATTTTGTGGTTATCTTATCGTTTTGTGAAGTTCTTATATTTGCCATGGAATTCTATCAAATAACGGCCAAGTCAATTCAAAATTTAATTTTGGAAAGTGTTCTTGGCAAAGAATTCCATATTATACCTATAGAACGGCAAAGCTTTGGAACTATTTGCCAATGGAAGTATTAGTATTAGTGCAATAAAGATAATTTATTATTATTTTAATTTGTCACTCCTCAGTCTTCAGAAACAAAATACTAAATTGATTGGTTGGGGTCAACATTGAAAACTAAATGTTATTACTGTGTATGGACCCTACACAAACTTGCTTCGTTTTTGGGATACAGGATGTTGAAGTTGGAAGCCCCAAAATTTCAAAATGATTCAAATTGGGGTTCTGGAATAATCTCAATTGAAGTCTTAAAAACACGCCTACATTAAAATTTCGAGTCAAATCGAATTGTTATTGTTTCCTCAAAAATTAAGCTAGATACAAAAATTACACAAAAAAGTTGTTATTTCAATAGTTCAATCTAATAAAAATTTGAAACTCAGAAAAACCAGTGGCGTACAATGACATTCACCATAAATATCGATAAATTTACCCCCTGTGACGCCACTGGAAATACTATTTCGAATATAATTGCACCAGAAGAAGCTCCCTCCATATTAATATTAACAAAACCACAACGTTTTATTGAAATTGATGGAAAGACAATTAGTGAGTAATGAATAAAAAAACGATTTTTCAAGGAAATTTTAATACCCTGTTTCTCCAAAACGAAGCAAGTTAGGACACATATTTATATGAACTTCATTTCCTGAAATATCACAAGGAATCACTCCTAGAATTTTTTCGGTGGTATTTAGATACACCCTGTATATGTATAGAGATAAGAATGGATTTTTGTTATACATATTTGATTGATTGATATGATCTTGATATTTTTAGCCATGTTGATAGTGTAGATGATGGAAGCAAATTAACAACTGGCGGGTATTACTGTCCCCAATGCTTCAGCAAATATTGTGAACTCCCTGTAGAATGTCGAGCTTGTGGCTTGACCCTAGTATCGGCGCCTCATCTAGCTCGGTCCTATCATCATCTATTCCCGGCTGCCAATTATGTGGAGATGACTTTCTCCAATCAGGCATCAATATGTTTCGCTTGTCAGAAAACATTTAGTGAAGCTGATAAACAAGTAATTTTTTAGTTAAAGAATAATGGGCGAGTGGACTTATAATGAATAGGCGTGTACACCTTAGTAGAACTTTTAACTCAAACCATGTTTGTAATGATCCTTTTATACATAAATAAGGATTGACGACATAATTCGATCAGAAAATTAACTGGAATGTTTTATTCTTGGACATAAATAATAGTACCTTCTGAAAACGGACCCTCTTATGACGTAGAAACCTAATCTCGCCATAGTGAAAAGAAAATACCAAACGCCCGACGGAGACTGAGGCAACTGATACATCAATTCTTTCAACTGTGATCTCGCGCTAATTCACTCTGTCAGAAATCATGTATCATTCATCTCTGTCTGGAATAGTCTTGTTTCAGTATTAGGGTTTTGACGTCACATCATCGCCTCGTTTTCAGAGGTCCGAAAAATCGGGTATTTCAATAATTTTTTATGAAACGTAGGGAGCTCACAGCAAAAAACGGTTTGCGGTGGTGAGCTAGTTTGGGTGAGTTCTATCGAATTATGAAATAATTTTTTTTTGTGATATAGCCCATTATTGGCATTCAATTACTACACTGTGTCGTTAGGGACCTAAATTAATTTTTGCAACACTTATCACACTTTTGCATGTAAATAATGAGTGTATGCGTTGTTCGAAATTGTTGAATTTTGAAGCTCATTTCAAACGTACCGTCATAGCCACTATTTGGCGATACGTCGAATAAATGGTGGCGTCAGCTTTTATGCTGCTTTGTTATTGGTCAGATAATATCTTCCATTCCCACTCACGAAGCAAGGTTGTCAAGTCACCAATTATAATCAAGTTATCAAAATGATATAAGAGTCCTGTTGTTGAATGAAACATAATAGGAGGAACCCATGATATTATAGTTAATTCTTGACTCTTTCGAGCAACCAGCATGTCCAAATATACTCCATACTCCATAACAAAATTTCATGTGAATGTTGGAGACTTGGCAACATTGTGCTGAATGCTGGCACGTATTCAAAACGCCCCGATAACAGCCATAGACAAGCTTTTAGACCAATCAGGTCGATTTTGAGCTTGACGGTAAATTCGAATCGCGGATCTTGGCGATTTTGAATCACCGAGTCATACATCGAATAATGATCAATGAATTATTTCCCAAGTGTGGTAATATTGATAAGCAATTGATGAAGCATGTGATAGGAACTGAAAAATGAAATTTAGGACAAATTGCTGTAACTAACAATATATTTTATATTCAAATGCCTTTATTTTTATTCCATTTACGGGAAAGCTGGCTTTCTTATTTTGAAATTCTGGTTCTCGATAGTAGATTTTCGAGGGCGCCCACCAACACTACTACCTGCCTGAAAGGCAGGTTTTACGCCTTGATAGTGAAGTTGATGGTTGGATAGGAATTTTAGACCTCAACTTGTTTCTTTAATCCATCATTCCTAATAAATATAAATAGTGATAATAAATTCAAGTGATTAATAAATAAAAAAGGGGATGTACAATATCACATACAACTACCTGAAGAGAAGTCGGTGTGACATGCACTTGCGAATGCAGATACTGTTTTGATAACACTAAACTTTCCAACAAAAACAGTCAAGGCATTTGAAATTTCTATTGAGAAAATATTTCGTTCACCACATTAATTAATACTTTCACAACCATCTGAAATATAGTGTTCCTCATTTAAAATTTTTTCCGCTCTCACATCAGGAGATGGTTCATCAACAAATGGCTCATCATTTTCGGAATATATTTTTGTAGATATTATTATTTCTTCATTGCCACCACAGGATGATGATGGCCCACTAGTGCTACTGTCATTCAGGAGTAGTTTGAGCCAGTTTGTAGGGGGCACATATTGCCTGTGGCGGGCACATGATTGCCTGTGGTAATAAAGAAATGAATTTTTCCTGTTCTCTCTATTAATCTTTCTGATTAATTTATCAGAGCTCACAAACTCAACGTTGTGATTGGTCTTAAATTAAAGCTTGCCTATGCCTGTTATCGGTGCGTTTTGAATACGTGCTGAATGCTGAGAAGGGACCAGACCACACCCACAAGTCGTGCGCGCGGTGTTGTCACGTTTACCGCTTCAAATGTCCTCTAGTGTGAATTAATATAATTACTATTTACACAAATGTATTTATTATAAGCAATAATTTTGAGCCTACGATTTTGTATTGCTAAATAGAAATATTACCAGTTCTTTCTCGCGGTAAATGTCAATCCGTTTGAAAATTACCGTGGCATTATTGATGATTTGAGCACCTAAAAATCTGATGATTCTATTTGAGAAATAAAGAAATTAGTCCGCTCGCCCATTTTGGTGTTTGTGTTAATGTGATAATTTTGTTTTAGGTTTACCAGTGCCCTAATTGTAAAAAGGTATTTTGCTTGGATTGTGATATATTTATACATGATGCATTGCATACATGTCCTGGCTGTGCAACTAACTTGTCTACATTTCAAATTACTCATTCCAACTGATTTTTTTGGTCAATAAAACGATATGAGAACAAACATTTAGAAATTTGATTGTGTCCTTATTTATGCTTAATGTTAACGAAAAATCAGGAAAACTTTTTTTGACATTCGAAATAGTTGTTTATGTACCAAGGACGAAAAACTGTCTATTATAGTCGAATCTGCAAATTGATATCGGAGGCTAGCAATCAGGCGTTTTCGCCGAGGTGTATATTGCATTTTTTCGTAGACCTCAAACTCAAACACTAATTACGGCCATATTCACACAGATGTAAAATACACCTTTAATCTATGTTGCACGTTTGTTGTCGAATCACTCTCCGCGCGGACCAGGGTTGCCAGTTCGATTTTTATTTCATCAGTAAATATTTTTTCCCAATTCAGATCTATTTTATGCTACACGAATTCCAAGAAAGGATAATGGAATAAACCTATGATGTCAAAACATTATGTACTTTTAGTAAACAGAAAAGGAACCTTTTTCTAACAAAATAGAAACAAACAAAGCAAACATTCTGATAGAAAAATAATCATACTTCTGATTATCAATTCAAAAATACTCACAAATATGACAAAATAAAGCTACATAGGTACTTATAACATTTGAGTATATAGAAAACAAATAGTAAATTGAACAGCAATACAAAACAAAAAACACAAACTGTTATAACAGAGGATAAGAACAATTTTCAGAGGTTTATAAAAATTGAATTCGATCTGAATCAGATAAAGTATTGCCCTTTTTTGGTTTATACATATAATAAGTACCTATATGTGAATTTACTACCAATTTTGTAAAATTAATTTAAACCAAGTGTGCCGAAATATCATGCAATTTATAATTGTATGTATTAACTGAAGATTATTGATAATATAGATTGATGAATAAGTTTCAAAATATTTTTCAATGGTTATAAAATTTTTCAGTAGATCAATATGCAAATCGGGAGATCTACTGAAAATTCAGTAGAACTGGCAACGCTGCAGTGGATAAAAAGTTTTTCTGGAGGGAAAAGTTACCATCTGTCAAGAAAAAGTGCTTGCCTTCGGAAATAGTCGGTATTTCGTTTTCGGCCATTAGACGGTAAAATTTGTTTTTTGTACAGGGAGACAAAAAACGCATTTATAAAACATATTACTTAGTAATTCAAACAGGGCAGCATTGGAACAAAAAATCAATTATTTTTGAAGTTTAGGTAAAAAAAGCTGATAAATTAATCATTTATTAATTTACTAGAATATATTAAAGCTGTAGTGAAACATTGAATAGAAAATAAATTATTTGCAAGTAATCCTGTTAACATAATAGTACCTATAAATATATTATAGTGAATATTTTCCCTGATAGTGCTCTATTTCTTCTTCAAAGCTTTAATTCGTGCATCAAGACTGACAACTGTAGAATTTATTTCATTCAAACTCATAGCAAAACTTTCTTGTACACCCTGTAATAGCATCTTGTTGTTCTGCACATTTCCATTCATTTCAGCCTGTGTTACCTCAATCTGAGTTAGATCTTTCATTGTGTCAGTTGCTAGAAAAAAATCATGTATTCATTTTACTGGTGCACACTTTCAATAAATATACCTTTATTGTGAAGTTCTTCCAATGCTTTTAGCCTCATAATTGTTTGTGGAAGAAGTTTGATCACTCCTTCAGCATTTTTGAATAATTCATATAGTTCTAACACCTGAAAATAATAAAAAATACATTTTCAAACAACTTGAGACAAGGAGAGTTAATGAGTTAAAGATTAAATAATCATTATTTAGAGTAATACAATATGTACAGAAAGAAAAGAACATCAAATTATTATGAAGAACTATAAATACTTAACAAACTGTTCAATAATTTTGTAAAAAGTGAGCAATATGTTCTTTGAAACTTGTGCCATTGATTTGACATGTTTGTCCAATGTAATTCATAATTTAACAAGTGTTCAAAAATTAACTTGGAGAGTAAAACATTTTTATCTACGGGTGTTTCCGAAATTGGGGCAATAAATAAAATGAGATGTTCTATGAGTATGAGGAGAAAACACTCACTTTCTTGTCTTGTTCCTCGTCTTGTAAAACTTGTGTTTTCTTCTCTGTAATTGCCTCCAGTTTTTGAGATAGGGCTCCTAACCGACCTTCAATATGGTCTAGCTGAGATGAATCCAATAAGCTGGCAGTAGCACTCAAATGCTCAGCCACCTCCAGTAAACTGCCTTTGGAGGTAGCTGTTGTCAATCTAGATAGCTTCTCACTAGAAGCTCCCAGAACAGTTTCCAGTTTATGTAGTCTGGCCTCCAAGTCTGCCAATCTAGAAGATTGCTCTAAACGCCCCTGCTCAGGTCTGTAGCTGAACTGATAGACAATTCCTGACTCATCACCTTGGGGCTCAGATTCAGGTTTCTCATTTATGTTGGCCTTAAACTGCTCCAACTGAGAAAACAGTTTTCTAAAAAGAAAAAAGGTGTAGGTAAGTTGTCTAGTAGGTACCATACTATATAATACATACTTGATTTGTGATCCTTGAGGATTTGATATTTTGGAAACAACTTCTTCACCCAAACTTTCCATTAGCTTCAAATCAGCAAGTTGTTTAAGTGCCAATTCAACTTTGTGACTGGACACCAAACAATTTGGATCTTCATCCTCATTTTCTTTTTGAATGTTGTTGACTTCCTCCAGTAATTCTTTCATTTCACACTGGAGCCGGTGATACTTTTGAATTGGGGTCTCTTTTTGGTCAGATCCAACTAGTTCCCAATCACCAGTCACAGCATCATAGCCTGTTCTTATACGTTTACCTATTCTTGAGGAGAAATCAACATTTTCTGCATGCAAGAATTTATCTTTGAACTTGTTGAAAGCATCATCTGTTGAGATGTGAATGCGTTCCACTGGGTCCTCTTCCTCATAGAAATCAGCAGTTTGTTCAGATTCTGGAAGATCATTGATTTCATACACATCTGGTTCATCATAAGCCTTAAATAGAAAATATAGTTTATGAATTTGAAACTGGAAGCTGAATTATCTAGTTTCACGAGAAGGGTCCTTACAATTCCAGGCAAATCGGCATACTTTGGGTCAGCCATTTTTCTGAGCAAGGAACAATCACTGAGCCAGAACAGTTTTGGATTTTCAGATAAGCTCCACTTCAGCCCTGAGCCCTGAAGTCTGAAAATTCTGGAAGTGTGAAATGTTTTCTGGTTCTGCGATCTCTGCGACGTTTCACATTCACCACACTTCACTTCGGTGTTGAGTGAGCTTAGCAGGTTAACCCAGCTTCTAAAATATAATGAAATTTCCGAAGTTAACCGACGGAGTGTTGGCGTATGACCAGTAGCGTATCTGGAAAATTTACTTAACGATAACAATGATGAAATTCATTGTATTCCTTCTCCGCAAAACCCATTCAAGTTGTAGTGAATGATTAGCCATAGACATCATGATTTTAAAATATCATACTCTAGGTATTAATACAGTCATTGTTTTTACTTATGGAGATCGAACTGTTGAATTGTAGCACATTCGGTATCACTTCAATGCCTATTGAAAACATAAAGTAGAGAACTGCACATGGAAAAACTACTTCACCAGCCACTATGATGCTACGATCATCCATAGAAACCCTTTGTATATCCTGAACTCAATCCTGAACAAACAGACTGCTATAATAAATAAAAATTTTTTTTTTTTTAGAACAATTTTTTTTTTTTTTTTTAATTTAAAATTTTTTAGAACAATATCATAGTTTTTCTTTTCTTATGAATCTACATCACACTAGGAAATATAAGAAATAATCGATTTTTTGTGAATGATATGACATCTACCAGAAATATATAAGCACCATCTCTGCGAACATCGAAAAGACTGAATGTGTTATAGTTCGATCTCCATAAGTAGAAAGCGGCAAATCTTTGAAATATTTCAACGGTCACTACACTCATTACGATGCTACGATCCTTTATAGAGACCCTGTCGTATAATGGGAAATACATGGAAATACTTAACATCCAATCGATGTCATGGGTGTCCATATACAGGGCCATTCACGAAAAGTATATGGAGAATGAAATAATTATTCCTTTATTATAAGAAACTTCTCAATACTCTAAACGTATATGACGATGAGTAATTTTGTTCAACTTCTCAAACTCCGTAACAACCATTATTCAGATCCCGCATATCATTTCATTAGTTGAAGAAAATATATACGACTTACAAAAAAAAATAAACTAAAATAAAGTACGACCTATATATATAGGAAATAAAATTATTCTGGCTAGAAATATGGAACATTTTTAGGATTAGGATGTGATTGAAGAATGTACCTATATACTTTGCAGAGGTATATTGGTCTCCCAGTATCACCATAATATATTCAATCATCATAATTGAATCGCATGTATTTATCTTCAAAATAAAATAAACCACATCCGAATTTGTAAAATTATCAATAATGTGGAATTCCGTGCAAAAGTGTGCTTGATGTTTGATCAGCAGTTTATATTGAAAATAAGAATAAAAAATCTGCCTTGGATCAACGATGTTGAACAAACTTCATCAAAATTTTGATTGGGAAACTTATCTCTAATCAGGTGATGGATACTTCCTTAGTTATTAATGAAGCAATAACTTACCATTCCAGCATCTCTGATCAGGTGATGGATACTTCCTTAGTTATTAATGAGGCAATAACTTACCATTCCAGCATAAACAGCTTTTCCACAAAATTTAGTCAACCTTGATGGTATGTCAATGATTGAACAATTTATGATTTTCCACACAAATACTAATATATTTGGGTATCTTGCTAAATACCATACACAAATGAAATTCAATTTTTCATTCGTGAATAATAGTTCATCTTTTCTACTACTACTTCGACCACACGTTATGAAATCATAAATTAAACTAACGAGTTGATGCTTGATTCACTACATCAATGACTAATTCGTTACATATATTAAGCATATATTATAACCTTTCTATAACCGATTAGTTCCTGAACAAGTTTCTCCTCTATATGTATGTATGTACCTACAACATCAATCTTCGCTATAACGAATAATAATTTTGGTGGTAGATATACGGGGGGAGGTGATCGGCATCTTAGACAACGCAATAATTAATGAGTACATCCATGGGACAACCAATGAACTTTCAGCTAGGTATGTATTATGATTTTAATATGCACTTAACGTCTTCGACGGTTCAGGGCCAATAATCTGACGGAAACATTCCAAGTCGGTACGGTACGTAAATAAATATTTATTTTTTTATTCCTACAATCAATAAGTACCAGACTATTTTATATCCCTACAAATTTATGAAATATAATAAGACTCTGAATTCGTGGAAATATCACAAAGCATCACTCATTTGTTCAAACAATGATGGAAGTAAGATATGGTGCACATATTCGGCCATCAATGGCTGAATATGCGCAATTTTCAATACGTAATATTACGTATTGAAAATTTCAGAAAAATCACTCGACCGCCTACTATGATATCTCTGCGTCACAACGAGCGAGACGTTCCATTTTTACGCTAGATGGTGACGAGTGGAAATAAAATGGCATTTTAGGTACGCGGAACATACGTAACAGTGAGATTATTCAATTCTGAATTCGAAAAATCTGCGACAATTTAAAAACTGACAGATGTCATAATTCAAGGTTCGATCGCACCCCGCGAGTGACCTTGAGTAACTCATGACGTAATAGGCCCTTTCTTTTGCACGAAAAGTGTAGCACTCTCGTACACTTCGTGTATGATATGTACGCCGGCGATTGGCCGGCGCATGTATTGAGTTGACAGTTGTCAGTATTTTCGAATATTTGAACCATTTTGAACTTGAAAATGATAATTTGTTCGGTCACTTTTCTTGTTAAAATTCGTACAAGTGTAATGAGACTAGTGAATTTAGTTTGTGTTTCCATTAATTTCCATAAGATGAGTCTATTCGTGAGAAATATGGATTCAATTTTGTGGATTTAATTTCAATTCATTTGATACCAAAACTTGGCGAATATGTTCTGCGCATTTCGATGCCGAGGATTTTGAACGGCACAAGCAGAATTGCTAAATCACACACCAAAGAGATGAAAACTCAAGGTAGGAATCCCATCAAATAATACCAAATACAACAAGAGAAACACCATAAGTATTCAAGTTTGGAAAAATGATCAGAACCAGACCAGTTGTGAATATTGAGATTCTTGCTGAACGGGTAAAATGGAAATCAGAAGATATCACACGTGTTTTCAAGTTGAGATATTTGAGCAAGAGTACGTTACCCAACGAAGAGGAGCTATGTTTATTTGAGAGATTCCTTGAACTATCCTTCATTATAGGTTCACTTATAATAGTAGTGTTATTTTTCATTAATTTTGTTCAGAATCATATTTTGTTATTTTTTTATGCTCAAATACTTCGATCAATTGCTCTGTTTTTGACTACAATATAATCAAACAATGAAATACTATTTCCTCTTGTATTTTCTATAGGTATCTAGGAAAGTTTGTCAATTTTTCAGAATACAGAGTTATATTGATAAAATAAGTGATCTGTTGTGTACGAATATTGGTCCACTGCTACTACTTCTGGATCATCAGTTGATTATTCTTATATTTTCTGTAGTTTCTTGTTGACATTATCTGATTTGCAGGATATTTATAGGATGAGTAGGTTCATTATCAATGCATAAGTAATCACTAGCTCCATAATTATGCTCCATACCTCAAAACACACATACCTGGTACCACGACCTGGTAAATAGCCCCTGGAACAAAATTTCAGATAGGTATTCCTCTCTGTACTACTGATCCATCCAAAATTGCCTTCTCATTCCGAAGATTGAAGGTATTATACAGAAGTATATGTAAATATCCATATTTTTTAATGATACTTACTTATAATTATATACAATAAATTAATATAAATATGCTGAGCAGACCAAAAAGTTTGTATGATGTTTGTGTACTCTATTTGGTAAATATTTCATGACATGTCGCTTTGACAACTTGTCGTCTTACTGCCTGTGACGTCACGAGTGACCGTTTCCCCCCCTTGCCGCACTATCGATCGAGGCAACCTTCCTATACAAATCATAATCAGTTCTACCAACCTTGTCATAATTGTCCAATGTCGCCATCTATTAGAAGATCGACGGAACCATTGCTCTCGCTGTTCTCGAGAGGTCGAGTAAAATTCCTGAAACAAAAGCGCATCAGTAATTACACCATAGCGGGGAAGTTCGAGTCTCTCAGGCTGATGACCTGAATAATGTTGTATCAAACTGATTAATTGAAACTGATGAAATAAATATGGCATATCTAAGATGCCTAGAGTAAACATCTCAACCATATCTTACTTCCATCATTGTTCAAACCAATAATTTCACAGTTGTTGATGAAGATAAATATAGCACCATCATTGTGTTTGTTGATCATATTCTTGAATTAATCATACTATTGGAATAATTTCGGAACATTTCGAAAGTTTTATCAGATGGTCTGCCAAGTTCGCAATCACAAAAATTTTGTTTTGGAACGCCACTGCTTGATTGGGTATCTCCGGAAATTTAGCTGCTGACTTGATCTGCCAAGTTCACACTGGTTAGTAAGTTGACAATGACAAGGATTGATGTCAAGTGACTTTGAAGCCACAGAAAACTGGTTATTGCCTAAATAGGTTGAAGTGGTTACTAGTTAAGTTTTTGAATCAAGTATCAATTTAGTAAGAACAAGAACGACTTTAACCCTTATGTCATTGTAGCTTTTTCACTTCGAAAATGGCAGATGCAGAGGTAAATTTTTCACGTGGAAAAACAATTAATTGTGTTTTCCAGTTAAAAAGTTTCAGTTAAAAAGTGATTTTTGTTTCAGCTCGTGAAAGTTCTGAAGGATATACACTATAAAGTGCAAACGGCTAGTTTGAAAGAAAGAAAAGGGGTTGTAGAAGATGTCATTCAAGTGTTGGAACATTCCAGTAAGAGTAACAAGAAATAATTGAAACAACAAGTTTAATTCTTCATTTACAGATATATCTGAGAATATAATAAAAGGAATATGCAAAGTTTTATTGTTGACTCTACCAAGGTACAGAGATAGCTTCTCTCAACAGCTTGTAAGGAACTTGATCACCAGCCTACTGAAAGATCATCCTGCCCTATCAATAAAATGTCTTACATCAATCCTATTAGATTTTGCTACTCAGCACAAAAATATAGTCATTACGTATGTACAATATTTCACAGATGGTTTCATGACAAATTATATTTCACAAAAATATTATTCTCATTTCAGAAACAACACTAGTAAAACTGCATTATTTGCTTTGAGCTGGTCCACTATTTTATTCACAGATGGGTGGAAGAATGATCCATCCACTCTGCAAGCTAATTTACCTCAAATTGTTGAGCTGCAAAGTTACTTGATAACATCCATTCTGGGAGCTGATAATTCTAAAAGAAGAAACAAGGCCTATGCATTGGTACATTAAAGATGTTTTGAAATTATCTGAAAAAACATATGCATCTTTCATTTTTAGTTGAACAGTGCTTGGTCTTATGTAGCTGATAGTGAAAAATTGTATTTGGATGTGCTAATAAGTGGGGAACAAAGTCAATATTCAGTGGTATTGGCATCTGTATTATTTCAAAGATTAACAAATAACAAGGGAGAGCTATTGAGGGCCTATTTGGTGAGTTGGTAAATTTTTAAGGAATTTTATAATTTCACCAAAATTGATGTTTCAGAATCAATTTCTGGACAGTTTCATAAAGAACTTTATCAGCACCAAAGTCCGACCTTCTCCCAACATAATAATAGCATGTTATCCACTTATATCTCAAGCAAACATTGATTTATTCAAAAAAACAATATTGCCTGCTTTACAAAAAGCAATGTTGAGGAATCCAGAGATAATTCTGGAGTGTGTGGGTTTGGTTTTATCAGGAATTCAACTGGATCTCAGTGATTGTGCCAATGAAATTGGAACAAGCCTGATAGGTAAAAAATATGAAATAATAAAATTTCCCTGTCTATAATTCCATGTTTTTCAGCTAATTTACATTCCAAAGATGACAAAGCAAGAGAAGAAGCTGCAGAATCTTGTAGAAGACTTGCAGAAAAAATTAGTAATCAAAAAGCATTAGAAGAATTGCTGAAAAAAACATTTGCAGTATTCCATGGATCAGATGGGAAATTGACAGTTATTGATCATAAAATCAGTGTGCTGCAGGTACACTCTTCACAAGCTTCACTTAATACATCTTCATTTCATACATTATTCAACAGGGTGCAGGAAATTTAAGTCATAATGCTGCCACAGATGAAAACCTACAAAATTTAATAGTCCATGCTGCTGAACACTTCATCAAAGTATTAGAAAATGAAGTGCATGAGAAAACTTTGAGTCATGCCTTGGATATGATGTCTTTGTGGACCACAAAATCAATCAAGGAAGTGCCAAACAAAATTCTTGAAGCTTTCAAGGTAAGAAAAGAATGACTATTTTTTCAGGGTTATGTGGAATTGATTATGTTTTTTTGTAGAATGGGATGTCACTGAAAACATCCACACCTTTAGTGAAGATATCTTACATGCAATGCATGCTTTCAACATTCAACACAAAGAGCATCTCTCAAATCACAGTGCTGGTGCCAAATTTATTAAAATCTGTTGACAAAGCTATTTCCCAACCTACAGTAGCATTATCTGTCAGTGAAGGTTTATGTGCATCACTTTTGCTGTTGAAACTTGTGGGTAATCAGCAGGAGAAAGACAACACTTTCCAGAACATGTGGAATGCTCTGCTGGATATGGACAAACAAATTTTTCTTTCTGAAAAGTATTTACTGTCTTGTACAGAGGACAATCTGGTTTATGTCATGCAATTGTGCGAGAATCTTCTAGTAGCACACCCGGAAAAACTGAAGAGAGCTGACCCCATTCACAGAGCTCTCTTACACTGTACCATGCACCCTTCTACATTAACAAGACGCAAATGCCTTGTTGTACTCAAAAGGATCATAGGCAGCCTCAGTGGTGTTGCTGTGGCAAGGTCCCTTTTCAAGGAAATGCCCAGATTTTTGGATGCCAACAAAGTGGTTTCCAAGGCAGAAAGGGAGGACCACAAGGAAGGGGAGAATATTTATTACCTTACTGGGCACTCCATCATTGAATGTATCACAACTCTGTGCTCTCTGAAGGGTATTTCTACTGAAGATGTGCAGCTGTTGGCACTTGATGCTTTGCTACCAACCCATCATTTTTCTGTGGCCGGTTTGGCGCCAGATTTGTGGGTGAAAATAGTCAGACATTTTGAATGCAAGCCTAGAGATTTGATTGCACAGAGAGCCTCTCATTTTAGGCAGGTTCTAGTGGAAAAATATACAAATACACCTGTAAGATCATTTACTTGAGATACTTTCTTTAAGTTAGCAGACATACTTTGAAAATTCCATATTTTCATGGGCCAGTGGACTGATGATGAATTATTGGCATTCAATTACTCCACTGTGTCATTAGGTTCCTGAATTAATTTTTGCATCACTTCTCATGCTTTTTTTTATGTAAATGATGAGTCTATGCATTGTTCAATATGGTCAAATTTCAGAGCTTATTTCAAATGTACAGTAATGACCGCCATCTGGCAATACATAGAATAAATGAAAATATTAGAGTTCTGTTGCTGAATAAAACATAATAGGAGGAAGCCATGATATTATAGTTCATTCTTGACTTTTTCAAGCAACCAGCATGTTCAAATATTTCTTATACTCCATAACAGAATATTATGTACATGTTTAAGACTTGGCAACATTGCGCTGAGTGCTGATAACTGACAAGACAGCGCCCACAATTCATATTTCCAATATACAGGTTCAAATTTCCTCTAGTGTGAATTAACATAATAATAATATTTATTTATTTCATTCTTTGCTATAAACATCACATTGCATCTCATAAATATAAATATATTCATTAACATTTACAATGGAATACCATCAGACAGATTCATATCTGGTATGAGATTATTCATGCATTATCAAATTAAATTATAGTTATTGAAATGAACAACAGAATAAAGAAAATAATAATAAAACAAAAAGCTCCGGAAAAGTATAAATTAGTGAATGAGAGATCATTCACTCAGGTTTGATTTTCTCTTTGCAAGGGGATATGTTTCTTGACTTTAATGAATTGGGTGATATTTTTGCAACTTTTGATATCATCGGGTAATTTATTGAATTTTGAGATAGCTCCGTGAGTGAACTTTTTTTGACCAAGTGTAGAATTTTAGCAGCATCAAGATGAAACAAGTCATATTGTCTAGTATGATGTTCATGGATTTGAGAATTCCTTACCAATATATTATTCACACAAATGTATTATATAAGCAATAAGCCACAATACATGAGGAAACATTTTGAGACAATTGATTTTAATTGATAATTAGGAATATTGCCGATACAAAATTGAGAATTTGTGAATTATTAAATAACTAATATTTCCGAAGTTCCCAATCGTATTTCAACATATGGCAACTGTGCTATGGTCTGCCCATACTTACGAAATCGTGACGTCAGTTTTTACTCGCGGTAAATTTCTAGCTGTTTGAAAATTACAGTGGCATTATTGATGATTTTAATTTTAGCACCTTGAAATCGCCGAAAAGTTAAAAAAATGGAATTGAAGGGTATTTGAGTGATGATTCTATTTAAGGAATAAAAAAATAGTCCACTCCCCTCTCACTTTACCAAAATACTATACTTCTATCTAATATCAAAAGTATATGAAATCTATTCTATGAGGTGATCATATCATCATATCAAATTCAACACTATAACAATCTCCTATGGCTCAGTTTTGAATTGAATGTTGAAAACTTGAAAAGTTCCACAAAATGATGTTAACATAGTAGCTGATTCAAGTGAAATACTCATACAACAAATTAACCCACCATTGGCTTCTCTATTTTATACAGGGTGTTACGAAATTCAACCAATACTTCACAGCTTATAGCTCTTGTGATTTGATGGAGAATCACATCAGAAAATGAGGTCCTCATTGGTGAATTTTAGAAATACAGGGAATTGAAGTTAGATGGCTGAATTTTTACCAGTCAATTTTGATATGATTCATCCTTCAAAATCATCAATTCTTGATGATGCCACCTTTTTCTGTTCATTTTAGCTCAATTACTGGAGGTAATGCATTTTTCAAAAACAAAATATATATAGGTATCCGTTTAGTTAGTCATAAGACTAATACATTGTACATACAAAACGAAAATATGTCAAACAGCATCACTAAATACTATACAATAAAATAAAATCAATCATGCATATCAGAGATTACTTCCCTTCAACAAATGTTTTTTCAGAGTGATTTTGAAATAATTGGGAGAGTGTGCACTTTTTATTGCCGTTGAAAATTCGTTGAATACTCTTAAGCCCTTGAAAAAACTTGAGTTTTGCATAAATCTTTTCTAGAATTGGGAGATGTGGAAATCACTTCTAGGATCTCGTTTCATAGTGGTGATATTCAAAATTGTAGTTCACTTTATCTCTCAAGAAGTCTGGTACACTGTCATTGCATTAGTATACACAAAAATGAATGTCTGGTACAATAAAAAATCTTTAATTGACAACCTTTCTAGTATGTTCAACATTGTTGCAGGAAAGGATTATGCGCATTTATCGGTTCTGTAATTTTTGAAATCTATATATTTGATTTCGGTTTAGTAAATACAAAATAGTTGAGCAGTAAGTGAAGTGAGGAAGTATGATAGTATTGTATGTAATCCTTTTGGTCCATTGATTGAGATATCTTGAACATCTATACAGGGTGTTCCACAGGTAAAGGGAAATATTTCAGTGGTACATAGGGGTCACCAAGGTGGTTCTGAAAATACCATATTTGATTGGTCTTAGAGTCTTCATAACGGAGATACAGGGCGATTTATCGATTTCGAGTAATTATTCATTCGTCTATGAGTATTGAACTACCCGGTATATTTTCCTCAAGTTCGGTATGGCACGTTGAATTTAGTCACCTTTCGTGCGGAGCGAAAATCCAGGTTCGGTTTCAGGAAAAATTTACATTTATTCGAAATATTGAAATAACACACTGTATGTGATAATTTACAGAGTTCATCAAAGGAATCGTGAAGAGGAGGAAAAACTGAACTGGATTTGATGCTTTTTGTTTTCCCGCCACCAATTCTCATCGTAACAATCATAAACAGAAAGCTAAAAGTATGTCAATTTGAAGAGTATTAAAATTATGAAACCACTTTCAATTATGATTATTTGATATATTCTTGTTAAATGATCGTTCGAAAGAATTTATTAGGTCTCACAGTTTTCATAACAGAGATACAGGATGAACTATCGGTTTCGAATAATTATTCACTCGTCCATAAGTATTAAACTACTCATCGCAGTAATATTTTCTCAAATTTGGTATCGAGCTTACTTGGGACGATGGATTCATTGACCTATTAGGCAGAATGGAAATACAGGTTCAGCTTCAGGAAAAGTCTCATAGTCTTTATAAGGGAGATACAGGGTGAATTATCGGATTATAATTATTTGGTATTATTTCCATTCCGCCTGATACGTTAATGATACTACTTCTTATGGACGAGTGAACGATTATTCAAAACCGATAATTCACCCTGTATCTCCGTTATGCAGACTGTGAGACTTAGTAAGTTCTTTAGAGCGATTTTTTGACTGAAATATATCGATTAATCATAATTGACACTGATTCCATAATTTCAATAGTCTTCAAATTGACATACTTTCAACTTTATGTTTATGATTGTTACTATGAGAATTGGTGGCGGGAAAACAAAAAGCATAAAACTCAATTCAGTTTTTCCGCCTCTTCACAATTCTTTTGATGTACTGTGTTAATTATTGAATACAGTGTGTTATTTTAATATTTCGAATGAATGTAAATTTTTCCTGAAGCCGAACCTGGATTTTCACTCCGCTCGATAGGTGAATGAATTTAACGTCCCAAGTATAAGCTCCTCACCAAATTTGAGAAAAATATACTGGGTAGGTCGATACATATAGACGAATGAATAATTATTCGAAATCGATAAATCGCCCTGTATCTCCGTTATGAAGACTCTAAGACCTATCAAATATGGTATTTTCAGAACCACCTTGGTAACCCCTATCTACCATTGAAATATTTCCCTTTACCTGTGGAACACCCTGTATAGAAAGTTTACTTTGAAAGATATTCTTTTTATTAATAAATCTGCCTGTTTTTTTTAAAGTTGGCATGTAATCAACCATAATACCAAGGTATTCGAATTTTTCTACCCGCTCGATTATTTCATTATCAATTGTTATTTCCATTTTCTCCCCAAGAAAATTATTATAATTTCTATTATTAATCGAAATTGCATCATGCTTTAGAAAATATCGGAGCAAAAGTTATCACAACCTTCCATAGCAAGCACTGGATAAAATATCCGGAATGACTTTCTGGTCAAAAATTTACCTTTTCGAAGTTGAAACCATATAACGCATTTGAATGCGGAAAATTTTAATCGTTCTTGAGTTATTACGAAAGAAAATGGTGTGCGTAGTATCAGTATTTTCAATATCTCTTGGACCATACACTTATGATTATGGCGGTCTTATGGTACGCGGTGATCCTGACGCGAGTTTGTTTTACTCTCATCACAGAGTCAGAATAATACCGACAATCTTCGTGAACGGATTCCTCACCTCATTTTGAAGTGAACAGTTTTTCTCAACGTATGTCCTAGAATGCATCTTCTCTGAGATACAGGGTGTCAGAAGTATGAAAAATTTGACAACTCCGAAGTATATCTGCTCACTTGATAAAGTTGTGCTGCAGACAATTGTTTTTTATCAACATCAACGTTGACATTTTTTTCAGACGAATGAAAATGCTTTATCTACTCTTGTATCACTCAACCCAGACGTACTATTACCCAATATCATCCATAATGTAACCACACATTTAGAAGATCCAAGAATTTGTCAGGTTTCTAAGGATGATTATTTCACTTATTTGACACCAGATGACCAACTTTATGACAAGAGTGTTATACCAGGGTAAGATAATTTGATATTTCAATATTATATAGGCGACTGAATCTAAGATCGCAGCGCCAAATTGACCGGTTGTGAACTACATGAAAGTACATCCTTTTGAAATGGTTCATATGCTTGTGTGTATTATTTAGATTTTTTGGTAGTAATCTGAGCAAAGAAAACTTTGATTTAAAAAAATTGCGAATTTAGTAACCGCGAAGTCAAATGGAAGATAAAAGGACTTGCAGTTCTTTCTGGTAGACGGTATTATTCACTCATTTTTCGGAACTATATCACAACAAAAGCCATCAACAGTGTATATATATGTAATATATATCCGGGAAAAAAGTAATTTATGAAAAGTGACATTTTATAATCTGCCAACAGAGATGAAATGCCAAACTTTTTTCCCGTCACAGAAAAAAATTGTTTATGAAAAGTGACATTTTATAACCTATCGACAGAGATGAAATGTCAAGCTTTTTTCCCGTCACAGGAAAAAGTATGTTCACTACTTCAAATACAAATGCCCCAATTTGAGGTCTGTAACTCCACTTCTGGGAATAAAATGCAACTGAATTCAATCTTGAAGTTGAGAGAATATCTTTCAATTATACACTGATTGAACTCACCATGTTCTGTGGAATGCAGAAAACTTTCATGAATAACATGTGAAACCAAGCATTAATGATTCACGATACTCTACTGAAGAATTCAAACTCGAAACATATCACAATATGACTACTTAACTTCCGATAAAATGCATGGAAGCTTGAATGTGAACAAACATTCAATGTACTTTCCATTGGTTATTTTGAATCGCCTATATTATACTAGCAGTCCTGCCCGGATATGCACGGTTGGTGTACCCATTAAAAAATAAGACATTTGTTGCAGTCCTTCTAAGCTATGCGCGTATCTACGGTACATATTTTCTTCAATTTTTTGTGCTTACCCATAGGTACTATTATTAGATTAGATTAGATTTGGAATGGGGCCTTCGGGCTATCTGCCTCCACACTGCGACCTTTTCAGATCTATTGTGTCTGCCCTCAAAATCGTTTAAAGTTCTTCGGCTAGCCCCGCCTTCTCTATGAGACTCCATAGGCTAGCTTTCAGATCTCCTGTGTATCTCTGGGCTCCTGGTTTTTCCTCACCCAGCGTAAGGAACCTTAGTCTTGACAAGCCCTCACAGTGGCAAAGTATGTGTACTGCTGTTTCTTCCTCTTCTTGACAGAACCTGCTCAGCAGTTCTTCAGTCAGACCTATCGTACTCATGTGTTTGTTGAGCCTACAATGCCCTGTGAGAAGTCCCACTAGTATTCTAGTTGAACTTCGTTTCTGGCATAGTAGATATTCTGTGAATGTTGGCGATGGTTTTTTAATAAACTCTTTTGCCTGTCTCATTCCTGGCGAGTTTTACTATTATAGACTCACACCTATTCTTATTCTCTTTTATTCTAAGCATATCTTTTGTATTTTTTTGTTGTTTTACGTATTAAACATTTCAACCCAACGGTCAAGCCGTTTAGTGGGTAGTCGACGTACCGACAGCAGCGCCACCTACCGCGTCCAATTGTATTTTCAAATCATCCAGGGAACCATCGAAATACCCATATAAAATTTCAACTCAATCGGTTCAGCCAGTGAAAAAGATGATTCTTACTACCCGTTATCCTATTACCCGTTTTTCCGTAGGAATGAAGCATTTCCCCTCTGTAAAAAGTAGCCTATGTTCATCAGGGATAATGTCGCCCTCTTATGGTAAAATCCTCTTTCAAATCGGTCCAGTAGTTTCGGAGCCTATTCAATACAAACAAATCATCCCTCTTTATAATAATGATATAAGTTCATTCAAAACGTTTACAAAATATACATTGGAACATACAGATATGCATTTTGAATAAACTGGGAAAAACCTTACGAAGTGAACCTTGGCCTATAGAAGAATTAACAATATCAAGGTTGTCTATTTTGGTAATCATGGAATTCATTGTTTTGTGTTGAAATAAATTTGGATTTCAATTTTGAACATTTCTCCTAATGAGAATGATTCGGTTATTTTATATAATTGATTTGTTGGTAAACGATACAGTACTTTCAATGTCTTTTTATATAATGCAGATATTTTATTAAAATTGTTTGTTGAACAAACATCTATCAAATAGTTAATGCGACTGAGTGTATGAGAATATAGGGGCTCAGGGCTCCAATAATAGGATATATTTTTCTCGTCAAAACATTTATGTTTGTCCCATTTTATTTATCATCAAACGAAATCCCAAGATACTTTTTCTCATTAGTTTGTTTCAAAGATTCATTTTTAATTCTGAGATTTAAATTTATATTTTTGTTGAAAAATCATATATTCAATTCTATTAGTATTTATTGATAAAAAGTTTGAATGCAGGCATTTTTGAAATCTCATCAAGTCTCTGTTTATTATATTTTCTAAAATGATAGGGTTTTTATTTTCATATAAAAGCACGTAAAGGTTGGAACTAAGTCATTAAAAGCTTTGTATGACCAATGGGAAAAAAGGGGTCAGACACCGCGATTCTTTTTTCAGATGCGCATTTCTTGGTCTACTCATATGTTTGATGACGTCATCATTATAAATTACTGTATTATGGATGACATCTCTTTTATTTTTAGAAAATACGGTTAAGTAACATAAAAAAATATGACGTCCATAGGAAAAAGCGTTCTTTTTGTTTGAAGATATTATCAAAATACGGTTTGGCATTAAAAGGTGTCTGAGTTTTTTTTTCCACCGGCCATATCAAATTTTTAACGATGTTTCAACAGTTTTCTGCCATTTTCCCCAATAGTATTGAAATTCCAAGATTTAATGAATCAGCAGTCCTCAGTTTTTCATAAACAGATACTTTAGAATTTGCTATGCTATTTTTATGATTTCAGTGATACAAGCACTGCAGAGTTAAATATGAAAAGGGAGAGTAAAGTGTACAGTTTCAAAGAACAACAAGAAGAGTTGCAGTTGCGAAGAGAGTTGGAAGAGAAAAAGAGGAAAGAAGGAAAAATCAAGGCGCCACAGTATACTCCCAAACAATTGGAAGCCATCAAGAATCAGAAAACCAAAGAGCAGGGTATCCGGAATAAATTGAAGGAAGTAAGAAGAATGCCCTTTTCCATCAACCGTATCAAATGTTGATCATTTTGAAAAGGAATCAGATATATTATGAACATGAAAAAATGGAAACAAACATATAACGAAATACATTGAGAATTCATCACATTGTCTATCTGCTAAGAATATGAATTCTTATTCCATATATTCAATAGAAAAACAACTGCTTTCCTGGCCATATGCTATTGAATTGCATCTAGCCAAAACTTTTGGATCAAAGTCATGAGCGAAATTAAAGCAACAAGCTGGAGTATGTCAATCGACGGATATTTCCAGATAAAATAGTATCATGAGTTGTATTTGTATGAATATTTCATTATTGAGATCATAAATGAGCGTCTCCCGAGAGTTGCGCATATCGCAGCCATCAGTTTGGCTTCCAACATGATAGACGTTTGAACAAAAAAAATTCCCTGTAATACAGAAGAAACCGTGAAAATGGTCGATTTTGATTGGTTATCGGGAACAAGAGAGGAATAGTCAACAGAAAATAACTACTTTCCTTTTTATTTGCCAGTTGAACACCTAAAATGATGATATGAAAATAATAATCTTCTAAAATTCATTTACATTCTCTCGAGAAACTTCACAGTAACATCAAACGTGAACAGAAAAGTCATGGCACACTCAGATGGAAAATCAAAAATGAAATTAAAATCAATATTAGAGTTTGAAATGACACTTGTGTGCTATTATTGGATTCAGGAAATGATGCAGACTTCGAAAATGCACTGATACAGAGGAGAGGGTGTTCCATTAGAAAATCAAAAGATAATACCACTCCCTGTGAAACCAGAAATGGAAAATGAAACATATTTATGTCAAAACATGACGTTCATCAAGTTGATGGATAATTCCAAATATCAATATCAGAATTAGAATTGTTTCCATATTTTATCTTAGAATAATTGGATATAATCTCTAAAACTGAAAGAGAAAAAGGAGGTGTACAATGATCCTGTTACACCCGGTATAGTTGTACAAACTAAGGTGTTGAAGCTTCCTAAAATCATTTGCATCACAGATGACCAACCAAGTTATATGGCTTTATTCAAATGAACTCATTTCAGGTATCACACCTATATCGAACCCACCTTAGTAACCTGAAGTCCAGTCATTCTTTTAGTCAAGACTCCATGAAATATGTATACATATATCTGAGAATTATTTTTGTCAATCATTATTTCAATTTTCGTTTGTTCCTTTCAGTTAAACACGATAATTCAGAATTCCATATCCATGATACAAGCAGCGGCTAGGGGCAATCCCATACAAATGTCCCTCCATCTGAAAGACCTCATCCCTCCGATTCTGCAAGGCTTGCAGTCTCCCCTAGCCGCGCCGCATCTCTGCAAGCTCTTCGCCAGCCTGGGGACAACAGTCTTCCCCAAACATCTGGAAAATCTGAGCAATCTCATCGCCTATGTTACTCTCAGGTGAGCAACATAATATGCTCCATAGCTAATGACATTGTAATACTGATATCTAATATTTGAATGCACCATTTACAGACCCTACAATGGGGTTGTACACACTGGTCGAATTTACGCCACAAATCCATTTCATATTGATCATTCCCTGTATAAATAGTATTTGATGCAATCATTCCTTATATAAAATCATCGCAAATATATTTTTTTCAATAATGAAATTCGACACCCTCGAAAAAACCAGCTTCGATGACGTCATGAACCGAACCGAAAGTCATCTTTAACTGAATTCTGGCTCGTATAAAAAGTAGGACCACATATTTGGACGCTGTTGTAGATTTGTAACTAGTAATTACCTTATGAGATTCAATATGATCAATGACAACAGTATTAACACTCACAGAAGACAAGAATTCTTCAGTTTGCATCAAGGGATCCTAATGCTCACCACGCAAACGCAACTGTTAAACATTTTGATTGGTCTGAATTTCTGAGCATCCTACTCTCTAGACGTAAGTTCATGCGTTAGCAATATTTTCAAAGGCTGGCCAGACCCCAGTGCGACCTGGACGCCAACTGGGAATCGGAGAACCTGAACAAGGCGATGGTCCGCACCGTTGGCCTCGTTCATTCGATGACAGTGCCCAAAAAAACCGAAGAAGAGCACGTGCAAGAGTGCTTCAGCGTGCCGGCCTTCACCTACGCCTTTCCCCTGCTGAAGTTCAGCATCAGCTCGAACCATGCCAGGAACCACAACGAGGTGATTCATGACGCTTTGCAGATCATCGCTGAACATGCTAAGCAGCGGGGGAGAGAGGAGAATGGGACCAAAGACTTGCATCATCCGCAGTATTTGCCGACCAAGCAGATTTTCAGCCTTCTTGTTGACACAATCAGTGAGTATTTTGACATCAATATTTTGACAATAGTAACTGAATGTATCGAAACCATTGCTTGAAATGAGGGCTAACATTAGTTGCGTTTTATTGGCAGACATTGCTAGTGTCACCAGTGGGACAGAATCGCCGTTTTATTGACTTTCTGTGGAATTTCTTATCATCCTGGTGCCACTGGCCATTCGGTCTCAGAACATTGAATGCGTGGTGAAATGTTTGGAATGTATAAAATAAGGTTATTTGACATACATCATAATAATTTTGTTGTAATCAAAAACTTTGTAGAATAAAAATAGAAGATGCGGAATAGGGAATAGGTAGGTACCTACTAATGGAGAAGATGAGCCAATAAAAGAGGAAAAATGTGCATATAACTCATGGAAACATTCAGCAGTCAATCTGGAATGGCTATGTATTGAATCTTGGTACATTTATAACAATCTCATAAAAATTTTAAATTTTTTGAACTTCCTCATTATATATTCTGAAAAAGGTCAGTATGAAACATTCATCATCCTGGATTCAATTTTATCATCTTATGAATCCATAATTTCATGAAGAATGTCGCTAGGTAGGTAACCGATATAAGTTTCAATGCACTTTCCATTTCCATAATATGGTGCTCACTGCATGATTCACTACAATATTCTACATTAATATAAGGATGGAGAGAAGATGGTGAAAACACTGATAGTGTTTTGTTTCGACCAAAACGCTTACGCCATTGTCATTGAAAATGGCATAATAGTTCTCACTTCTCCGGTAAGATGGCAGATTTCTTACAGATTTCTGTAATATCAACCTCACTTCTTGACAATTGTCAGTGTCACTCAGAGTGTATTTAAATTCAAAATTTAAATTTTCCAGATTTTCATTGTTTTTCTTGTGTGTTATTCAAATCCCAGTTTCCAGTGTGTTTTATTTCGAGTATTGGAATCCACTTATCATTTTCGTCTTGTTTCCTCAGTTTGTTCATAGTTTTGTTTTTGTGTCGTCAGATTTTCTGATGGTGGAAAAACGAAAAACTCGTGGGTGTGTGATTTGCCGGAAAGAAAATGACTTACAGATTTGTATGCAGTTCCAAAGGTAAGTTTGCGTTAAAAGTAAGTAGTAAGTAGGTACGGAAGTACAACAACTTTCCATTTTGTAAAGTAGGTAGTTAGAGATTGAGGTGTCATATAGTGAGTTTCATGCAGTGGTTGAATAATTATATGAAAAAAATCAGAACTCCAGTCTCTCTTGGCATGTGTGGGTTTGAATTTTTTTTTAGGAATATCCCTTCATACTTAACAGAAATACTGTTGTAACATATGACCCCAACATTAGTGTTTTTTTGAGCAAAATTTCTTCCATTCTTATTGTTTCAATGGTTAGAGTGAAAACCAAAATAAAACACTCTTACATTTCTAGTATAGGTACTAACTTTTCTTCAGAAAGGAACCTATTGCAAATGTAGGACACTATTCCTACAAACTTAACAGAGAAGAGGGATGGAATACTTTTTTTATTATGAAATACTTCCATTAAAACTTGATTCATCATAGTCCAACCTGTGAAATGTATTTTCAGTAGGTAACTAGGTATAATTAAGAAAATGTGATTATGAATGTGCCCTATGAAAACGGCAACAAATCAAAGGGGGAAAGAAGTCCAAGCAGTTACTTAGAATATATAGGTAGAAGTGTGTTAATATGTTTTTTCTGTGACGGGAAAAAAGTTTGGCATTTCATCTCTGTTGGCAGGTTATAAAATGTCACTTTTCATAAATTACTTTTTTCCCGTGGGAAAAAAGTGAATACTTTTTTCCCGGATATATATCACATATATATACTCTGTTAATGGCTTTTGTTGTGCTATAGTTCCGAAAAATGAGTCAATAATACCGTCTCCGGGAAAGAACTGCAAGTCCTTTTATCTTCCATTCGACTTCGCGGTTTCCTATATTACTAAACAACTACTGAATTGGCAATTTTTCAAAATCAAATCACAGAATTGAACTGACAGAAAGTGACATCAGATATTTGATTACTTCAAAAGAATGATAAAGATGTCTATAAAACGCAGGTGTCCCTACTGTTAAAAACTTGAAATTTCATGACGATAATTTTCAGATTTCGAAATAATGTAATATCTTCTTAATATTAATTCGTCCTTCCTTCTGTTACAGAAAAAAATAGTGTATTATACACGGGAAAAATATTAGATTTTAGCTCACGGTTTTTTGTCTCCCTCCGCTACGCGTCGGGAGACAACACAACCTGGAGCTAAAATCTACTACTTTTTTCCCTTGTATAATAAATAACTATTTTTCTTTCTACCATAATATAATGATGGATATGATATACCAATACCTTATTCACTTGATAGGAATGATAGGTATATCTAAGACTCAGGAACCGTTCTGGCACAATAACCACAGTGCACCATTTTAGTGCTATAAGAAAATATTTTTTGCCATGTCAATTTCAGAATATTAAAATTGAGAGTTAAAATATCAGTTTGGTTAGTGGTAAAACATTGTAAAATGATAAGGCCTTCACTCGGGCCTTCATGATCAATTTAGACAATTTACTCTGAGTGAAACTATAATGTTTTTCAGGATGATTGTCAACTTTTGGAATGGGTAATCACTTGTGGCCAGCTTTTGCCTTTGAAATCTTTTGTCTGCTCCAGCCATTTTCCAGCCAGTAGGAGCAAAAAATTGAAAAAAGGAGATATGTACCATCAGTTCAGCAAGTAACTCAATGTATCATATTATTACTGTAAAGGCATTCACTGTGTCTTTTAATATGACTATATATGCCTTCTGAAATCAACACAACTTGATATTTTAATCATACTGCAGACTAGAATCAAGATTTTATCCTTATAAGGGCATAAGTACATTGTTCCCCAAACCTGTGCTCTGGTCAATGTACCTGAAGAAATAATCAAACTCTCAGTCATGACAACATGAATTATTGTTTGAATTCTATTTTGTTATTGCAGAAATGTCTGAGCATGAGAAATTTTTTGAAATATATAAAAAATACAATAATTTGCATGATTTTAACACAGAATACTCAACTGTGATTTTAATGTGCATAAAAGTTTTCTAGCATTTTGGTTTACAAGTTATTCCAGAGATCTTAGAGATGTTATCTTCCCCTGTACATACAAGTCCACATCAGTATTGAATGAAAAAATAGTAAGGCACTTGATTCTCAGTAATTTTTCAATACATAGTTGGGAAAAAAATCACTTTTTTGTAACAATTAGTAAATGACTAAAATTCTTTTTCCTTTCCACCCCTGGTTGTGCATCAAATGAAATTTTTATTCTCTAAGATAAAAGTGATGATGATCATGATTGCACTTCAAATATGAATTAGAGTTACTTCACATGTTCTTCAGCTAGGAAAGTAGTTTTATATTGAAATTATAAAAAAAAATCTTTTTACTAGGATTTAGGGTGATGTGAAATTTTTATTCAGGCAGGGAAAAAAATCTAATTTGAAGACATGAATACTATATGTTATTATTTAGTTGGAATGTACCTTTATATATATAAGAAATAATACAATAACTACAATGATATAATTTGATTGATTGATTGATTGTCTTTATTACCCCAAGAAACATTTCTGTTTATGATAGGGATACATAAATACATATAAAAAAATAATAATAAAGGGTTAACTATAATGAATTCCACTCAGTGGAAACGAATTAATATTGTGTCTTATAAGATTAAAGTTATATTTCATTCCTAAGTAATCAAATCATGCCACATATTTTTCTTTCAAATTGTCCTGAGCAAGTATTTATTAAGATTGATTTTGAACCTTCTTGCATCATGTATATTTTTTAACTCATTCGGTAATGAATTGTATAAAATTATTCCATTGTGAAAAACAGATTGTTTGCCAATGTTTGACTTGAATGTATTTGCAATCAAGTAATTCAATTGTCTAGTCCCATAATTATGGACTGTATTGACTTCATTGAAAGCTAAATTTGATATTTTCAACTTATTCCTGGCAAAATGAATAAAGCAACATATTTTAAGTTTATATAACGAAATCAGGTTCAGAAAATGTCTTGGTTTGTATAAATTTATCTCAAATACAAAATAATTACACGATTTTTATAGTTATTGTTCTCTATTGTGATTCATATATTGCAATCATCCTCTATAAATACATATAACATGAAAAAAATGTATAAATATTTCAGGAATAACATCAAATTAGGTCAAAATTTTCCACTAAATTTATCAAGAATCAGAAACACTTTATAATGACAGAAACATAGAATTATTACAATTTGCTTCCTAATATTTCTCCAATTTGGTTATTTTGAGTTCAAATAAAGGTGTAGTTATTGACATTGAATATTCATTTTCCAGCCCTGAAGATGATTCCACTCCAATTCCAATGAGTCCTACCCAAGGTCCTGCTCTAGCTGAAATTGACTGCTCTGCTAATGAAGAATCCCAGGAATCCTTTGCTATATCCTTCCATTCTCCTATTCCTCAACCTATCCAACCTATGGACATTGTAAATAATGATTGAATTTGGAAGCTTATTCAAAATTTGTAAAGTTATCTGAAGAGATATTTCAGGGTGCTCCAAACAAACGATATAAAGGGTACTAGTTGATTTTTTTCAAATGGGACAACCTGTATTTAATTGCATTTTGAGATTCTCCCTGAACAGCTGATTTCATCAATATAATCACACTTGGGGTCTAGCGGGAATGATAACAGAGATATAGGGTGTTCAAAATCGAGAGTTTTCAACTTTGGGATTTTTTGTATTCAAACTATTCATTATTGGTCGACATGACTAACATGTCTCTATCTGAACTTTTGATTTACTATCTACAGTATCTACTGACTTAAATAATGGAAAAATACAGGGTGGTTCAAGATTCAGAATCCTGATCACCCTGTCTGTGTTCCAATTATTAAATGTCAGTAGATGGTAAATCAAAAGTTAAGACAGGGACATGGAAGCCGTT